CTTGCTTCAGTTTCCCAGAGTGCTAAGATTACAGGCATGTGCTACCATCCCTGGCTATATTTCTTCTTTTAAAATGGATATATTCCTACAAAATCATGCTGCCATTGTCACACTTAACAATGATTTCTTTGCATCATTAAATTTCCACTTCATAAAAATTTTCCAACAGATGTAATATATAAATTTCCTAAAATTGTATGAAGTACACAGGATATATGTGCATTTTCTCCATATACTGAAGAAATACTGTATACTCATGTAATATGAAGGAGGCAGAAGTCTCACTCTCACTGATGCTAATCTCGTATAGCACACAGAGAAGCTGCCAGCCTGGTTGCTCCATTGTAAATTTCCTTTGTAACTCTTTATCGAATGGCTTCATTCAGTGATGATCAATTAGAATTACAAATGTGATTTTACAATTCTGTCATTTCTTATCTACTTACTAACTGTAATTTTTCTTTAAAAAAGATCACCCCTAAGGCTATTTGATTACCATGAAATATAATTCATAGAGGAAAATCAAGATAAATGATTAACTCTCCCCCTTGATTCCAAATACCTAGATAGTTTTAACAGTAGTGAATAAATGATAAACAGAGTGTTTATTTTCTAATTCATCTTGTTCTTCTTGCTTCCTCTAGTTAAATTAAAGCTCTGGCAAGATGAAGTTTTTTTAAGCCATGAAGGAATTGATATATTTCCATTTGAATAATACAAATTCATAGAAACATAAAGGACCCCACAGATCATCTATTTTAACCTCCACATTGAACAAGTGAGGAAACTGAGGCATGGAGATATTATATTGTGTTCAGTTCAGTGGATATACTGAGACTAGATCCCAGATCTGCCAATTCAAGAGTCTCACCCAGATGATGATACACCAGTGATAGTGTTTTTAGAAAGCTAAATATCTACATTCTTTTATTCCTCCATAGGTAGGGCATTGTGATGACTGTTTCACTTCAAACCAAGAAGAAATGTGAGTTACTCCGATGAACTGTTAGCTTGCCACAGGTTGTTTTAAAGAAAGGAGTTGCTTGGTGAAGTGAATCTTTCTATTGAAGAATTCTTGATAGTTTGCATTGGAATAAAGAACTGATTGTTCTCTTTTGAAAGTAAAAGTAATATGTCACTTCCATGTCTACTGAGTCCTAAGTCCATAACCCTGTACTATAATTAAGAGGTATCAGACATGGTTCCTACTCTCTAAAATGTAACTGGAAAAGTCAGACATCCATTTAAAAATAGTCATAAAAGAATTAGACACAGTTTGGATGGCAAAAGCAAAGATTTTGCAAAATCATCATGTTCATGGCCAAGAGATTCGGCAGGCAAAGACAACTGTGGGCCTCACAGAGGAGAGAGAGGTAGGTTGTGCCCAGGATAGGCAGGCATTTGGGGCTGGGCAATAGCTTGGAGCCATAATGAGGGGGGAGGAGATGCCAAAGAAGTGCCTGATAAATCCACCTCACTGAGATAAGAGATTTATTTTTAAAAGCCCCTAAACACAGAGCACTTTATTCCATCAGATGTGGAAAGCCACTGAGGAGCCATAGGCAGTAGGTGGCATACAGAAGTCCCAAGGAATCCAGCTGCCAGCCTTACTCCCAACTCAGGGTCTGCCATCTCTTACCTGGGAAGATTGGGACCCCACCCTGGTTCAGAGTTTCTAACCCTTTTTTTTGTGAAAGTAAACTTTGGAGCATTTGGAATAAAATAATTCTACTGCCACAGGCCATTTCTCCTGGATCAGGTTATAAATTCTTCCCCTCTACCCAATCTCTACCCTAGTGCCATTTTTCCCTGTTCTTCCCTATTCAATCCTACTACACACCCATGCAGTCAACAAACATTTATTGGATAATATGCCAAGCACCATCCGAAGCACAGGATAGATCTAGCAAGCCTCCCGTTCATGGGACTTACAATCTAGCAGAAAGAAACAGACAACATATTATATGAGGAAATAAAAGCAAAATTATTTCAGATTGTCAAGTGGGTAAATGGTGATTGATAGCAAGTAATTGAGCACGAGTAAATTCCTACAAATAGGGCCATTAATGAGGGCTTTCCCAAAGACAGGACACTTGATCTGACATCTCAGTGATGAGACAGTGTTGGCATTCAGAGCCTGGGGAACATCACTCCAGACAAATAGAACAGTAAATGTGAAGTTCCCCAGGTGAGACAGGGCTTCATGTGTCAAGACATAAGAAGAAGTTCAGTGTAGGTGGAATATAGTCAGTGAAGTTGTGACTAGTCTGGAATTAAATCAGAGGAGCAGAAAGGGATTATATCGTGTCAATCCATGTAGTTGTTGGTGAGCAGTTTGTATTTGATTTTGAGAGTGACAAGAAACCACTGGAGGGTTTTATATGGAGAAGTGACAAAATCTGAATAATGATTTTAAAAGACCACTATGATACACATAAAAGAATGTTGATTATAGTGTTGTATGTGGGAGCAAAGATCTGGGGAATAATTAGTTAGCCATTAACAAGATCAAGGTAAACAATTTGTTATATGTGCATACAATGGAACACCAAGTAGTTGTGATGAAGAATGGGCAGAGATCTGTATTCTGATATGGGTTGTCTGTGAGTGAAAAGGCAAGGCGCTAAACAGCGAGGGGGGGAATAGAGTAAAACCCTAAAAGAGAAGACTTTGTATAAAATGGATCCTAGGGCCGGGGATTTAGCTCAGTGGTTCTGCAGCCTGCCTCACAAGCACAAGGACCCAAGTTCGATCCCCGGTACCAAAAACAAACAAACAAACAAAAAAATGGATCCTAAGACAGTTTCAGAAGCTTTCCTAATTGCCCTGCGAAGATCAGGCTAGTGCTGCCACACAGTTAGCCATACTGTACCTGTGGCTCTGTCTACATGCCTGATGTCTTCACCAGCAAAAACCAGCCACAGGGCATCAGTCTGCTGGAGCTGTTTTTACCTGTGGGCTTGATAGAGTTTTAGTGGGACAGACTTGTGGTAAGGACCCTGTCAGTCACACACAAAACAAGGCAAGTAAATCAGCAATAAGCACAAAGCTGAATATTAAGCTTCTTTCACATAAAAGGAAGTGGGGTTAGCCTGATACTCACCATGGAAGGAGTTTCCTTGCTGAATTTTCTAACTTGAAAACAGAATTGGTATACAGTGAAACAACACATACGTGGGGTGAAGCATGGAGAATGAGGGCTAAAAATTGTCTTCCACTGGGACATCTTCCTGTAGGGTCAACACCAGTAGGGCCTACAGTGTGTCCTCTTTTGTTCTGCCTTCTTCTTTACCTGACTTTTTCTATGTTCCACCCCTTGAATCCTTGGAGCAAAAGCCTCCAATCAGTCTCGTCTGCCTCATTTCCAGATGGGATGCACTGAAGCTTGCTAAGTACTTTCATCAGTTTCAGAATACTATCGGGAAACATCTCAGAAGGCAGCCAATTTGCAAACTTACAGATGGGACTGGAACAATGTAGAAAAGTAAAAGAGATATATTGAGTTAAGAAAACAAGTTTGTTGATGAAATAACTCATCACTGTTTAACTCAACAGAAGTTCTTTAAAGTTTAATTGTTTCAGCACTCACTGTTTCCCACTTTGGTGAAGATGTATGCTTACAAAAAATAAGCGCCTTTAAAATCTGAATTGATGCCAACATGTACCCTCTGCTTGTGAATCTTAACATCTGTCCCCAGCAGTCTGAGTGACTGGAAATATTTGTCCATCTTTGTGTGTCTGTGTTTATAAGACCCCTGAGATCAGAGGCAGGATGTATTGACAGTTGTTGATTTCAACAGTGTCTGGTCCTAGAGAAAGCTTTTTGGTGGGAACAGTGTGGCTTCCCTTATAGACCTAGGTGACATGAGAGGATGATGGATGGAAATAGAACATATCTACGTGCTCCTTGTGGGATTATCTTGACAATATATGAACAGTAAATCTTGTTGCTGCAATCTGCCAGAGCCCTAGGATTTGCCCCTAATGGGGCCCTTTGGTGAGCAGAGTTCTCCAGGACTTTGAAGCAGCGCATGGTGTAAAGACATGCAGCTGTTCCACCAAATGTGTATTGGTTCATTTTTGCTTGCTAGGTCATGGTGGACCACTTCTGAGGGAAGCCCTGATGATTAGAAGAGCAACAGGTCTGTGTACATTATCAGGTCAAGACTTGTCAAATTTAGCAATGTATCCTAAAGAAATAGCAGCTTCTGAATCCTTTTGTGACTGAACAGCTCAGACACTGACCCCAAAGTCATAACGTAGTCATTCATTCATCATTCAGTAAGTGAATGCTTACCTGAGTTTTTGCCTAGCATTAAAGAAACAGAAACCAATAAGACTCAGTTCCTGCCCTCCATACTCCTGATCTGGGGGAGGAGATCCAGGTAATCAGTAACAATCCAAAATGGTCAGAGTGTGGCCGAGACAGATGTGGAGGATCTGCATGGATCATGGATCATGGAGGAAGACATTTGATGTAGTCTCAGGGTTGCTAGAGGACATTCAGGAAAACTTCCTGGAGGAGTTGATATCTGAATTGATTTTAGAAGGATAATGGACATGTACTTGGTGAATACTGGCATCAGGAAATAACAGACACCATCTTACAGCTTTGGAAACTGCAACAAAGGCTATATCTTGGGTCAGTGACCTCCACTGTGTATCTGATGAATGCTATGAGCCTTCTCCTTGGTAAAATGTCCATATATATTTATAGCAGAATTTCTTATGGCCATGGGCTCTTAAATCCCTTGCACAAATTCTTTAGGCATTTATGAACCCCAAGTTAAAGGTTTTGTCAAGAGAATTATATCCCCCAAGATGGAGGAGCCCTCAGAGAACACGTAAATGGACCCAATCCTTCAATAACAAGTAAACCAAGGCCTGAAGAGGCCAGAAAACTTATCTAAGGAGACAAGGACCATAGTTCATGGAGAGGGAGGGCAGCAAAGAAGGGAGGGTACCTACAGCCCCCAGACCTCATGATGTCTTTCCTACAGGGATATTTCCTGGCTGGCACCTGAGCTATGTTGATGTGAAGGACAACTCCCGAGATGAGACCTTCCGCTTCCAGTGTGATCGCTGGCTGTCCAAGAGTGAAGGTGACAGGCAGACAGTTCGTGACATTGCATGTGCCAACAATGAGATCCGAGAAGAGCTGGAGGAGACCAGTAAGTAGAGACTGTGTGGGCCCAGTTGCCCTGTGATGCCTGGGCTGAGGGTTGGATTGGGAGGAGGTGGAAAGTAGTGTGGCAATGAGAAGACATGGCACAACTGGAGGGGAGTCAGAAGCTCAGTGAGGGAGGTACTGTGGGGAGGATGCCTTAGTAAACACCCCAGTGTTGCTTAGTGAGTCTGAAACTGAGAAAATACTGGTGCCAGCTCATGGCCCTGAATAACAGGAACTAATTAGGTAGCAGGAAACTCACTGGGGAAAAGCTCACCCTGACCTGCAGGCTGTGCTGGGCTGTGCAGTTCAATGTGAAGTCCTCCCTGGTTCATTTTTATAGCATGAACTAAATTCAACTGATACCTGTGACAATGGCTGCTGAATCCATCCGTCCTAGAAATAGAATACAAGAGAAGCAAGCATCTCCACTGGTCATTCTCTTTGTCCCTCCTTCAGGGGATATTTAAAGGGAAAGACTAATTGATCTTTAGAGTGGATGGCCATCAAGGTCTAGGGAAGCGTGTTCTTAATACACATGCCAGAATCTGGGCCTGGCCAACTGGAAGAAGGCTCACCAAAGGCAGAATCAATGCAAAGAGGGCATTTTCCCCCAACCTTAATTATTGAAACAATACTGGCCGAACTAAGAGGTTAGCCTCCCAAATCTCAGTGTGTCAGCACAGCAGAATTTCTTCCACACTTCTGTAATATGTAGACCAGTGTGAGTGTTTAATGGGAGGTCTTCCACAGTGTGATTTAGAAACCAAAGCTGTTTCCATCTAATTATCTGCCATTTCCAACATGTGGTTTCCACATGCAGAAAGGACGAGATCCTGGAGAAGGCCCTCCCCTGCCATCCTAACACAATACTCACATTCTGTTGGTTAATACTAGTCACTTGGCTCCACCAGATACAAGAGCACCTGGGAGCTGTGGTCCCTGACTGTCAGTCTCTTGTGCAGAACCACCTTCTACCATGGAGGGGTATGGATGGTTGGTGGAAAGACACCTACCTATCTCTACCAGATCATCCAAACTGCCCAATGATGAAAGTAGCTGTCTTGAGAGGTAGCAAGCCCCGAGTCCCTAGGACCGTTCAAATCAATGCTGACCACACATTTGTCAAATTCCTGCCCTAAATCAGAGGGTGGGCCCCCAGCTTTGTCGTTGTACTTCCTAAGGAGTCACTGGGTACCCAGTTTTGTTGTGAATGTGATGAGTGTTGGAGACTACTTTGTGACCTCTAGTGTATCTGTACTGACCTCACACATGTGTTAGTCTATATTACCTAAAATCCCCCACAGATCCAAGACAGCCTCACTCATGTGTGTTGCCCTCTGCAATGCGGTTAGATTTGGGGCTTAATAAATGCTCAGTGAGTTGATGCCCAGCAAATAGAAGAAGACGTGGACCTTTTCCTCAGAGCCCCAAAATGCAGTGAGAGGGAGAATCTTACACCCCTCACACAACAGCCAGGACGAGCAACAGAGGCTCCTCAGACTGTTGGTGTTACAGGGAGGAGAGATTTGCAAGGCTTGAAGCAAAACCGCTGAATCACCTTCTCAGATTTCCAAACAGCCAAATAGCTGCTGAGACCCTTGGGATTTAGGTTGGCAGGGAGGTTGCAGAGGGAAGTATTAGTTCTAGAAGGATGTGTGGGTATAGCATCAGTCAGGAGACGGCCTGGATGGGTGTGTCATTGCCGCAAGCCTGCAGGGGGCAGCACAGAACATTCTGGGCTGCCCTTGGAGACAAGCAGCCACACCTGCCTTCCCTGGGGGCTTGCCCTGGGGAGTGTCATGGACTCAGCTTGAGCCAAACATCCTAACCCACATCTACTTCTATTTAAGTAACCATGTGACAAATCCATATTAAACACCCAGAAGCCATGCCCTATTCTGATTTCGGGGAACATGTGTGAATAAAACAAAGACCCTACCCTTGTGGCACTTGTCATTTTCACTGACCCCATGCTTTTAGGTCCCTGAGCATCTTCCGTCTGTTTCCCCCCAGCAATCTGTAGTCCAATCTGAGAGTCAGAACTTCCACATTTTTATCAAGCCACTGATGACATGAGTAAGAGGGCAAGGTAAAAAATACACTGATTAAATCTTCCTCTACAATGACCTTTGATGTGGTTAGCTGCCGTTGTTTCTAACCTACATACATGTTCGCACTTACAAGCCCTACTCTCAGAATCATCAGAAAATGATTTGCTGGAGTGAGTGTGCACTTACCTGTATCACCTCACGCATCTCCTACTTGAGTTCATTGTGATTAGCATGGAGTTTCCTAGTGCTTCTTGCTTCCCCTCCTAGGTGCTGACAAATTATTTCCTTCACAAAAGTCAGGATCCACCTTGAAGTTACCAAGGTCTGTTTGCAGAGCATATCTTAGCTTCTGCTGGGAAAACAGAATGCTGGGACAGCCCTGTCGCTGGGATGGCTTTAATCCCTGGACTGGAATCGGTTGCTGCAGGGCCCTTTGGATCTCTTTCTCTGTCCTTGGCTACCTGCCTCTTTGCCTGGTACATTCTACCTGGTTCAGAAAGCATGGATTCTGCCTGAGCGAGGTCACAAGGGGTTACTGAGGGGTCAGGATCGACAACACTGGGCTGCAGGCTTAGCATCCCTCCCCTCCATTGTTCTCCAGTGTATAAGCTCCATTCCTGTAGCCCGTGGAGAGGGGCCACATCACATCACACCACCTCAGAATCTTTGCCCATATTCTTCCCTCTGCCTAGAACATTCCTCCATCTTCTGTTGACTGTAATCTTCGCTCTTCTTCAAGGCCATGCTCAAATGCCCCCACCTTCCTGAAGCTTCCTGTGATTAGCCCAATCATTCATTCCTTCACTTAATAAATATTTGAGGTGGCTGGGGCTGTTCTAGGTACTTAGGAATCTATCAGTGAGCAAAAGGATGACCCCAGCCTTTATGGAGCTTATATTCAAGTATCAGCAATAAACAAAAAATGTAATGAAACAATAAATAATAAGCAATATTGTTTATTAATACACAATAAAATAATAGACAAAAATGACGTAGAATGTTAGAAGTTCATCAGCACAAGAGCAGATAAGAGATAAGGCAGACCAGGGGGCATCGGGTTGCACTTTTAACCATGGTGGTCAGGGTGACTCTCTGAGAAGGTGGCATTTGGGTAAGGAAGAGAGGATGGAGTGAGCCAAGCCACTCTGGGAAGCATGCAATGCAGAAGGAAGGAGCACTGTGGAAATCTAAGGCAGGAGTGAAAAGGCAAGAGTCTAGAGAGGACAAGAGAGAAAGTACTAGTAATTGAGATGCAAGAGGTCGGGGGAGCAAGTGTCCTTGCACTCCACAGCAATTCACCCTTTGTTGCTAGGGTATCATGCTGTGTCTTATGGTATGGTCAGTGTTTACACCTGGGGCTACAGAGTGAGTTCTAGTGTCACCAGAGTAGGGTCTATTCCTTGCACTGGGTACCCATGGACAAAGCTGGATGAATGAGTGTCTGTGTAGACATGCTGAGTGGAGCAGCAAGGCAGGGAGGTTGCTATGAGGCATACAGGATGGGACTGCATGCTGGAGTGAGTTCAACGGTCATCTGGGGTCCTTTGCCTGCCAGGACTTTCCCTGATGCTTTCCCAAGCTGAGCCCCACCTCTCCACTTCCCCCTTCTCTTCTCAGCATATGATCTCCGTGTTGCATCTTTGGTGATTTGCCCACTTCCAAGAGGCCCCAGTTTCACGCAAGAATTCATCCCCACCTACGGCTTCATTCCCAGCAGCTCCCAAATTTGCCACCAAAAAAGATTGCTCCTATATAAATAAAATAGGAAGGGTCTCCCTACCCCAGAACTGGGCAGTTCTACTTATAGCTCCTGACTGTAGCCACTCTGATCTGCCTCTCCTTTCCCAGGTCATGGCCTAGGGGCAGACAAAAGGCCTTGAGAGAGTAGCTGTTGTGCTCCCAGAGGTAGGCAGCCGCTTCCCCCCTGCTGACCCTCTCCTACTTCCTCCATTGCAGCCTACGAGATTGTCATAGAAACAGGCAACGAGGGTGAAACCAGGGAAAACGTCTGGCTCATCCTGGAGGGAAGGAAGAGTCGATCCAAAGAGTTTCTCGTGGAAAATTCTTCCAGACAGCGAGCCTTTAGAAAGTAGGAAGAGGGGTGCCCATAAGGGGTGGGTGTGGGGTGGGTAAGAGAGGGACTCCAAGTATCTCCCTCCTTGGGGGAGCCATAGGGCTACAAATGGTCCTAATCGGCAAGTACTTATTGAGTACCTACTGTGTGCCTGTGCCAGTCCTATGCTACCCACTGCAAACCCAAACGATTCTATGTTCACATAGACACAGACCTCACTGCCTCACCTCCTTCCACCGCAGGCACCCTCAAGCCTGCTTCATCTGCTACCTCCTCTCCCTCAACTCCACTGTTCCTTTGTCTCAGTCCATTTAGGCTGCTATAACAGAATGCCACTGTCGAGTAGCTTATAAGCAATAGTGATTTTTCTCACAATTCTGGAGCCTGGAAGATCGAGGTACCAGCAACGTCAAAGTCCAGTGTGGAGGGATCCACCTCCTAGTTCACAGAGCCGTCCTCACTGGGTCCTCATATGACAGAAGGGATAAGGAAGCTCTTGGGTTGCTTTTTTAGGGGCACTAATCCAATTCATGAGGGCCCCACCCTCATCACCTGATTGTTTTCCAAGACTCTGACTCAAATACCATCACACTGGTGATCAGGTTTCAACAGATGAATTTTGGAGGAACATAAGCATTCAGTTTACAGTAACATTTTATTCAAATTCCATTTCCACCAGGACAAAGTCTGAGTTCCTTACACGTACACTTGGAGACCACCACAGATTGCCCGCACTTCCACCTCTCAACATCATTTTCCCTACTTAAACCAAATTCCACCCAAGCCAGTTGTGCCTCCACACCGCACTATTCCCATCCATGACTTTGATAATACAGGTCCACATCAGAGAACACTTCCTTTTTCCTCTGCCTTCTTCTCTTTCTGGTCTTGTCACCATCCTCAGCTCTATACCTGTGGTGTCATTCTCCTCTCTACTCCATCCTGCTTCACAATAGTTCTTTGGAGCTGGAACCAGGCAACTGGTAGAGCTTTTTCATTCTGAGTATCTTGTTCCAAAATTAGGCTGCATCCCTCAAGGAATGCAGGACTGACATCAGGCCTTGCCTGCCATCCTACCCTGGAATGCAGTAAGCACTCAATAAATGCTTACATTCTTCAGTGGGCATGCACAGTTCATTGAACACATCTTTGTTTATTGCAGAGGGACCACAGACACATTTGAGTTTGACAGCATCTACTTAGGGGACATTGCCTCCATCTGCGTGGGACACCTGGCCAGGGAGGACCGGTTCATCCCCAAGAGAGAGCTGGTGTGGCACGTCAAGACCATCACCATCACTGAGATGGAGTACAACAATGTGTATGTATGGTGTGGGGCAGAGATGGAGGTTGAAGGGGCCTGGAGGCCTATAAGACAAGATGAGAAGGAGCAGCTGTCCTGTTCTGGAGCTATTTGTACTGTGACTCTACTGCCAAAGGAAGGAGATTAGACTAGGTGACCTTAGGTATGTCCAGCCTTTGAATCCAGGGAGGCTACCCTGGAAGAATGCTGAGAAAGTCACATAGTGCCAGACAGCAGAGTTTTGCCTTGCCTTCCCCCTTCCCTCCCTCTGTAATGGCACAGAAATACAGCTTTGAGGCCTGCTGCACAGGTAGTCACAGTGAGAGCCTCCTCAGTAGGTAACGAGGGACCAGAGTCGAGTGAAGCCACCTCAGGGCACACCATGGATCCCCATGAGGGACTCTGCATTTCTCCCATCAGGGCCTTCTGGGGACTTGGACATTTCTGGAGGATTAGGAGACTTAGTTACCCAGGCAACATAGGCACAGCTGGCAATTTGTCTAATTAAAACCACTTGATAACCACTGGAAGCCACAAGGAGCCCTGAGGCTCTGGAAGGTCAGGAAGACTCGGAAGCAGCTAGCGAGAGTGGGAAGAGAGAGCCAAGGCCAAGGCTTGCCTGGGAAGAGTAAGCAGTCGCTGAGTGTGCTGCCCACAAGGCCAGCCTGCCTCTGCTTGTGGGGGCATCCTGCCCAGGACCACGCCTGACTGCTCTCCCACCATGTCCCTTCCTGGGGCTGGGCCTACCGATTCACACACTGGAACCTTTCCTAACCCCTGCACCCAGGTACAGGCCTCAGGATTCAGGGCAGTTCCTTCTCTTAAACTCTGACCTCAGAAGCTCAAGTGTCTTCTCAGAGCAATGACTGCCCATCCTCAACCTGTGACCTTCAGGCTTCCTGCATTTGTCTCTTCTCTTGGACCAAGCTTCCCCTTGGGGAATTGGGCAGGAAAGGGTTCTGACCTTTGCCCTTCTGTCTTAGTCAGTTTAGGCTGCCATTGTAAAACAACATAGACTGAAAAAGCTTAAACAACACACACTTATTTTTCACAGTGATAGAGGCTGGAAGTCCAAGATTAGTGTGCCAGCATGGTCAGGTTCTGGTGAGGGCACTCTTCTAGGGTTATGGACAGACAGCTTCTTGTGTTTCCACATGGCAGATAGCAAGCTTTGGTGCCTCTTCCTCTTCTTTCTTAGGGTGTTAATCCCATCATGAGGGCCCTACCCTCATGATCTTATTTAACCCTAATAATTTCTTAAAGGGTCTATCTACAAATATCACATCGGAAGATAGGGGTTCAACATATGGATTTGAAGGGCTGCAGTATTTGTTGCACTTTTAAGGAGAACCCAGCCTGAGTACAACAAACCCTGCAGGAGTTGCTGGGTATGGTTATAGGGTTGAGAGCTGAGAAACCAGTCCCGAATGTTAATGGCTCACCCAGAGAGTTAGGGATACCTCAGAGGCCCTTGGTCTGTCTGGTGTTGCCTCCCTACCATGGGGAGCGTGGCTACTGATGCTTCACCTTTGTAAAACCCCAGAATAAGTAAATAAAATAGCAACATAAAATAGTCATCATTCAAAGTACCTTTAAACCCACTATATAGATAAATATAGATACAGATAGAGATAGAGAGATATCGCAGCACCTTCTGGTACCTTCAGCATCAGGAGGAATGGGAAGTGAAGTTCAGCCCTGATCTCCCTGGGTCGAGCTGTGGGATTTTTGTACCCAGTAGAAAGAAGCAGCCTCTCTCAAGTGGAGCATATTTTCCTGCCTGTTGTCTGCTTGTGGGTGGGGCTGGAGTGGGAGGAAGAGATGTCTATGGGGAGGGGTTCTTCTTGAAGTGAAGCAGAAGTCCAGGTCCCTGGGTGCTGATGTTATCATCAGATAGCTGTTTGATCTCAAGCAATTGACCATCACCTCTTTGGACCTCATTCTCCTTGTTGCCCCTTTGAGTTTGGCCACAGGGGAAAGACAGCAAGAATGCCAACCTGGGGTGTCCTCAGAAGTTCCTGCCCACCCCTGCCTCCACAGGTCTTGAGTCAGTGGTTTCTGAGAATGAGAAGCTATCTCTCTCCAGAAATATCACCTTCATCCAGCTGGGAAACTTTGATGGTGAATGTAATCATCGCAGCTATTTATGTGGCAGTGTTCTAGGGCCCACTCCGATTCTACATTATAAATACCTCTTAGTACCGTGCGTGTGTCACAGTTGCTTACCAGCTACCACCTTATCCATATCTGAACTTTCACGAATTACAAATGAATTTAATCACAACCTCTTGTAAGCACAATAGCCTCAAATTTCTGTCTTCCAAGCTTTCCCTGTTCTGACCCTCATTTTTCAATGTTCTTTTTACCTTTCTCTCCAGTTCTTGTATTGCTATTGTATTTAGCATTTTGATGGAAGAGCGCACAGAGAAGCTTTTATTTATTTTTTAAACCAAAAACACCTTTCTGTTTTTATCCCAATAGCATATCCAATTGGTAATCATTATAAAAGTTCTAGTCATATAGAAAAGTAGGTCAAAGAAAGTAAAATTTGCCTAAGGGCCTACCCACCAGAGACAGCTACCATGAGCATTGCCTTCCTTTACTCTGGCATTTTTTTAATACTTCACATATACAATGTTCACAGAAGTGTGATCACATTATATACGTTTTTTAATTGAGATCATTTATTTTTATTCTTCTTCTTTTGCTTTTGCCTTTTGTCTTACTGGCTAAACTACCCCCACTTCCAGCTAGACACCCAACTCCACCAAACTCTTGAGCCTCACATTTTTGTAATCTAATCGAGTCTATTAGAAAACATTTCCTTATATCTACACTGGGGAATATTCTTTTAACCATTCAAAATACTGAATTAAATATGTACCAGATGACTTGGAGCAATTCCCAGGAAGTATTGTTGAGTGAGAAAAACAGGATACAGGAAAACATGTCTCATGTGATGCTGTTTAGTAGAGGGAATACTGACATCCCCGTATGTCCATGTGTATGTGTGTCCAGAAAGGATTGGACAGAATGGAAGGAACTTTGGCAATCTGCACCCTCAACTATCACACAGGTTATCTGAGGTAAAGGTGGGGTGCTGAAGTAGAAAGAAGGAGAAAGAAGGAGACAGAGCTAAGCAAAAAGGAAAAGAAAAAGTGTATTTGAAGAAGTGTATACATGATCACATGACTTATGCATTTACATAAAGCTATGTGTATTGGTGGATATGCACAAAGAAATACATTTATAACAAAGAATGCAAGCGTATCACCCTCCAAGAAATTCTGGTATGTAATAAAAATCCAAATGCATCAAATGGGGAAGAGAGATCTCAAAACAGACTAAGGATTTCCTGTGAACCATCTTCAAATGGCTTGATCTTCAGAGGCAGACAGGCTCCTGGTTCTGGGGCATCCTGGAAGGTGACTTTTCTCCTCAAAGCCTTAGTTCCTCCTTCCATGAAATGGGAGGATGATGGCAGGGCTGTAGTGGGAGTTAAGGAAATCCAAGAATGCAAAGCTCCGGCCTTTGTTAAGAAAAAAAAAAATTTTTTTTTTTTTTTGCTGTTCTTTCAACTAGGGCTGGGTGTGTAGCTCAGTACTAGAGCATGTGCTTAAGCATAGTTGAGGTCCAGGTTCAACCCCTTCAACAAAGGAAAAAAAATCATCTAAAATAGAGTTTGATATTTTTCTATTTGGCACGCATTTCCATTCCTACATTCCTGAAGTCATTAGCCAGTGCCAGGACTGCTTATTTTCTTTCTTCCTTTGTTTTTGTTTGTGGACTTTATTTTTTTTTTATTTGTACATGTTTGTCATACATATCGATCACATTCATGACAGGGAATTTGTACCTGTACATATATATCTTGGTTCTTTCTTTCTATTCCCCTCCTCTTCCTTCAATCCTTCTGCCCCTCCCCATTTTCAAAAGCTTTGTTTCCATTTTGTCCTTCTGTACTTTTTTTCCTTTTCTCTTCCTTCCTTTCCCCCTCCCTCCTCCCTCATTCCCCTTCCCATTTGAACATTTTCTTCCTCTTTCCCAATTACTATCCTCCATTATGCTCTTTATTTACCCTTTGGGTTTCTTTCATAAGAGAAACAATGTGATATTTAAACTTGTGTGTCCAATTTATTTCACTTAAGATTATGGTCTTGAGGTAAGGCTGCTATTTTCAAAGCTGCTAATATATTAGCAGTTTGATGTGGGAAGAAACCATAGCAATTGTTCCTTCCAAGCCTAGGAAGCAAGAAGTGGAGAGACCAGTTAGGATGCCCTCAGTGTTCTCCGGGTAGATGATGATAATGACTGGGACCACAGCAGGGTAGGCAATGAGGTACTGGGTGGTTTTTCAAGTGGGCTGATTCTGGATCTATGTTGATGGTGTCAATGGGCTTTCCTTATAGATTGGATATAGGGTGTGACTGACAATAAAAGAAGTAGAAAAATGAAACAACAGGAAGGATGAGATGTCACTCCACTGTAAATTTAAAATCAACCCCAGATTCACATTTTAAAGCCAATAGTTCCAGCCTCAATATCCTGGGCTGGAATCCTAGGAAAGAAGCATTTATGAATGGCCAGGCTCTATGGAGGAGGATGTGACCCTGGTTGGCATCTCCTGAGCACCCTTCTCTCTCACCTTCTGCCAGGTACTTCTTTAACTGCAACTGCCTCATTCCCCTCAAGAGGAAGAGGAAGTACTTCAAGGTGTTTGAGGTTACCAAGACAACAGAGAGCTTCACCAGCAAGATCCAGAGCCTGGTGCCTGTCAAGTATGAGGTCATTGTGACAACGGGCTATGAGCCAGGGGCGGGCACTGATGCCAACGTCTTTGTGACCATCTTTGGGGCCAATGGGGACACAGGCAAACGGGAGCTGAAGCAGAAAATGTGCAACCTCTTTGAGCGGGGTAGCACTGACCGCTTCTTCCTGGAGACGCTGGAGCTAGGCGAGCTGCGCAAAGTGCGACTGGAACATGATGGCAGTGGCTACTACTCAGGCTGGCTGGTGGACAAGGTGGAGGTCACCAATACCAGCAGCGGGGTGGCCACTATCTTCAGCTGTGGCAGGTGGCTGGACAAGTCCAGGGGGGATGGGCTTACCTGGAGAGACCTCTTCCCTTCTGTGTGAGAGGCAGGGGCTTGGCCACACCTACCTGCCTGCACCTTGGTGTTCAGCATCCCTTTCCTGAGACTTCCACAGGCAGGGACCAGGGGCCAGCAGTCTACTGAGAACTTCATGACCCTTCAGAGGCAACTACCCGTGTAGGTGATTATCTGTGGAGTTCTGCTCCCAATCTGTTGAACCTACAGAAATCATAATCAGCATGTGTCATAATCTGTGATTACTCAAAAATATCTTGTTGCATTTCCTTTTCCTACAACAGTGATGACCAGGCTGTGATTTGCTGCAGGGTGTGGATGGAAAATTGGGGCTTCACCCAGGGGAGAGAAGTGGGGAAGGAGAGGCCATCAAAATGGTATATTTTAAGCAAAACCTAATTAACACTTTTTTCCCAAAAAGCTGGGCTAATTAAATTATTATCAACCATACCCCACAAAGAACTCATTGTAGCATCTGCTCACTAAGAAATGTATGCTTTTCCCTTGAGTCAATAAATCCAGTGGTAAATGGAGAAAAATATCAGAAGGAAGGGTTTTGGGAGATTTATGAGCCTGTTGGAAGTAGGTAATTTTTCCTGCCCCTGTACAGAGAACACATGGGCAAGGAGCTGCTGGTTAGCCCAGTCTATGGTAACACAGTTGGGACAGGAACAAGGTGATGGGAGTGGCACCTAGAGCAGCCCAGTCACTGCTACCATGAGCTGGGAGGGCTAGTTAACCCATGATGCCTGTGGCTCTCAGAGGGCAGGTTTGAGCTGAGAGCACAGGGGATCAGGGACAAAACAAAGACATGATCTCTGTCCTCATAAAGGACCAGGACCTTGATGGAGAGACAACAGGAGAAATACATACTTGTTCCTGCACAAGGATACACACACATGCACATACACATATGCACCCGCATTCATAAATACGCAGATGGACACATGTGCACACATATTCTCCCTGGTCAACAGTCAGACTCGGGCAAAACTCAGGCAGAGCTCAGTTCCTGACTTCTGATTTCCTGGAGGCAGCAGGGCAGTAGGAAGGAGAGCAATGTGGGAAGTCTCCCTCCAGAAAGGCACCAATTCCAGCTTCTGCAGCCCTGCCATGTCAGCTGGGCCCTCTACCCCAAACCCTTCTACACTCTCAGTGAGGCTTTGTGACTCCAGGGGCAAGGCCAGGGAGCTCTCAAAGGTCTCCTGGGGAGCTGCAATGCACAGGCTCTGCCTGTCTGGGCCTGCACCCCAGCTCTCCTCTTTGGATCCCTGAGACCTTGGGCCCACTGCTAAAGGTGATGGCCTCAATACTCCTCTGCCTGCCAGTAGGTAACAGAAAGTCTAACAAACACTTGAAGTCACAAAATCTGTTTCCAGTTTATAATTCAATGTCCAGTGCAAATAAAAAGACCAAAACATCAAACTAAAATGAGCCTACTTTCAGCCTACAGCTCAGCCCTGAAGGGAAAGAGGCCTAGGAGTGTGTGTGTGTAAGTAGGGTGTGTATTTGTACATGCAAGTGTGGGGACATGTGCACATAAATGTGTGCGAATGACCCTCACCTCTTTCCCCCTGCATTGTCATACTCCTCTGTCCCCCACCTGCCTCTCAGTTTTTTACCCCCTTAGAGCAGGCTCAGAGGTGACGGATGAGGAATCTTCCAATTCTACATGCCATTGTGGTTGTGGTACCAGACAGGATCTTTTGGCACAGGAACAATGGAAATGAGATCATGCCAATATTGAGTGTGTACAATATTTTGCACAGGTGAAGCTTTACGGTGGTGGGGAGTTTTGCTGAATGGGGCTTCAGCTGAAGGGAGTCAGCTTTGATTAAGAGAGTAACCAAGCTGCTCCCAGAGCAGAGAGGGAAATTTTTGTTGATTTCCTGGGGAGTGGATAGCTAAAGTCCAATAATTTCCATTGACCAGTGGAAACATCCTAAAAGATACTTCTTGTGACCACTGGGTGGTCATGGGCAATATATTGTAGGAATTTCCAGGTTAGTCTTGTAGTTGGTATCATCATCCTCTGTTATATTCTGGCCCTGTGGTTTGGTCTAGGCCTTATGATAAGGCTGAAAGACTAGGTGCTGTTGGAGCTCCTGAAGAAGCACAAGCATGAGGGCAGAAAAGATGGATGAGAGAAAGAAAAGAAAACACATACCAACTCCAACAGGTGATAGGCCAAATTATCCCTGTAGTTTGGACAAAACTTTTTAAAAATGATCTACATGTGTATGTACAAAATGCATACTATCTGACCCAAGAGCTAAGACAGCAAAAGGGACAGACCTAAATGTAGACAGAGATGCCATCTTAGTCACTTGTCATATCTCTGTAGGTTCAAGTGAAGGTTCCATATTTTCAGCAAAAGTGGTCTTCCAGTTCCTCGAAAGAAATCTATGCAACTATTATCTAACCCACACATCAGAGGTGTTGCCTACAGCAAAATTAGTGGGAAACTGACAATGTATTACGTAGATGTGTTACCTCCAAAATTAATGATTTTTAAGTTAATTACAAGAAAATGAAGCTAGAGCTCTTATTTAGGATTTCTTTCCCTCAGTAACAATTCCCTCATCTTTTGCAAACATTCTGGTTTTGTGCTTTTAATGGGCTCTCATAATGGGTCTGTTGAAAAAGCACAAGGGTAGGTAGAGAAGCCACATGCCATCCTACCAAGGGTAACAGTTAACTGCATCCAGGGTGTATTTCATTGCCTCAGCCTTTTGTCCCACCATGGTGGTCCCTTACAGTTTCATTTGATGTCTTGCTTTCTGAACCTAGTGGGCATTTGGACTTTGGGTCATGAACACTTCTGCGGGTTTGGGCCTCCATGCTAACTTCTTGATTAGGATCTAGGACATCCCACAAGAGGCCCTGGCATCCTTTGCTCTGATAAACTTTGGGCATTTGGGTCTCTCATCCCTCTGCCTTCAGCTGCCAGACCATCTCTCACCCCTATGGTTTCTCCAGATGCAGCAGGCCACTGTTTCCTCAGCTCAGGTGGACATGTGCCTTCTCTAAACAGCCCTGCTAAAACCCCTGTCACTACCCTTGGCTGAAAGGGTAGCCAAGAGCCCTCTGACAGCTTTCTTCCCTCATACCCACTACTTCCATCTCTCGTTTTAACCAGCAGGAGGCTGCTCGGCTCAGAGTCCAAACCAGTTTTCTGCCACGTCCTTTTGGCAAAACCTGCACAGTGGTCTCACTGCAGAATATGGCATCTGTTGTCTGTTGATTCGACCAAAAGTGGTATGGGAAGAGCCTCAAATTCTTCTCCGGGTAGCAGTGTATTTATTAATGCTGGCCTCGCGTTTCTGGGCAGAGTACTGTGTGCCCTTAGTCAACTTTCTTGCCATCCCTGCCCTGCTCTGGTTGCTCTGCTTTCCTCAGAGAGCTTGTCAGGATCTGATGGAACTATTACTGTAAAAGCTTCATTAAAAATTGTTTTTCTGGGCTTGGGATTTAGCTCAGTGGCACCACACCTGCCTTGAAAGTGCAAGGTTCTCAGTTTGATCCCCGGTACCAAAAAAAAATTTTTTTCTCTGGTTCACTGGGGTGCTTTATTATCCATGGAGTTCCTCCTGTCTTCTACTCCACTACCTGAGTCTCCAGGTTCCTGAAACTTGGCCCATCTCTATCTTGGGCAAGTTGTCCACAGCTCCAAGCCCAGTATTCTATGATCCTACAATGCCACACACACACTCCTCAGCTGGGACCGTACCCTCTGCTTGAACCCTCCACCCCTCTGTTTCACTAGGCACTATGCTTCACATTCTTTATGTTTCAGCTCAAGGTATCTACTCACTGCCATGAAGTTTCCCTTATCACCCCCACCAAGACAAAGTTAGGAGCTCCTCCCTGTGCCCACATCTAGGAGAGGCGTATTGGGATTGTATGCCTCTCCAACAGGACCTAAAAGAAGGGCTAGGTCTGATTCATCTTTGTAACTCCAGAACTTACCACAAGGGCCAATATATAGTACATTTATTGAAACATATGTGTACTGGAGGGTGGATGGATGGATGGATGGATGGGAGGGTCGATGGGCTGGAGGGTGGATGGGTGGGAGTGTGGATAGGTGGACAGATGGGAGGGTGGTTGGACAGATGAGTGAATAGATGGTGGGTGGATGTATGTATATAGATGAGTCTATTTCAGGATCTGGAATGCCTTCTCTGATGAGGAGCTCATCATAGCTCAAGGTCTTGGAGTACCCCAGTCTCATCATCTCTGGTTAGAACACTTTTAAGAGCAAACCTTTTTTGATAACCTGAACTATTTCCCAAGAACTCTTTCCTGGCCAGTCTGGGTCATTTCTCCAGAGGCCTATTGTCTAAGCTGTCAGCAGCCTATCTCTCCTTTAATGGAATTCTTAAGTTCATGAACCCCAGATTTCAAACTCTCCTTGAGTCATGCATATTATATACTGGGTGATAATTCCCCTGAGCTCATCCCTGGGTAGAAGATTGTTCAAGATTCCTTAGGAAGTGTCTATACATTCTCGGGGGACGGGGAAGGGTAATACCAGGAATCCTGGTCCAACATAGAGCCATTCAGTAGAAGTCAATCCTGGTCATTCATCTAGTCAATACATATTTGTTGAGCATCTATCTACAATATGCCAGGCAATGCTAGGCATACAGAAGCAACCAAAGAAGTAAAAATCCTGGCCTCATGGAAATTATATTCTAACTGTGGGAAACAGATGTAAATAAATAAAGTTTAAGGTATGTTTGACAGAAATACACAACCAAGAAAATAAAGTTGGGAAAAGAGATAGATGGAAGTAGGGAGGCGGTTGCATCTGTAAGTCAGGTGGTGGAAAGCTGACATTGAGTAAATAAACCTCTAGGGACAGGAGATGACACTATGTCAACATCTGAGGGGCTAGCACTCCAGGCAAAGGGAACAGCAAAGGTAACCCAGGAATGTTGGAGGGAACACAAGAAGGTCAGGGAGGCAGAAGCAGCATGAACTAGAGAGAGCCAATAGGAGATAACTTGAGAACAGTGATAAGTCCCATAGGACCTCATAGGCACTTGAAAGTCTCTGCTTTATGCTCTGAAAGACATGGAAGCTATTGGAGGGTGTGGGCAGAGAATGGCATAGTGGACCACTCAGGCTGATGCATTAAGAACAGAGAACAGGACGTCATCTGGGAAATAGATAAGAGTCTACTGCAGTGGTCTAAGCAAGAGATGAGGGTGGCTCAGCACAGGGTGGTGGTAGTGAAAGTAACTCAAAGTGATCAAATTCTGGGTCTATTTGGAAGGCAGAACCACAGGACTTGCTGAGGGGTTGAATGTGAGATGTGAGATCAAGAAAGGAGCTAGAGGTATTGTTAAAAATGTTTTAGCTATGCACTTAGAAGGACAGAATAGTCATTTCTTGAAATGGAGAAGACTGTGGGGGAAACATGGGTTTGGGGTTTGCTGCCTTTTGTTAGGAGCTTACAGTGAGCTGTCTCTTAGATGTCTGGATAGAGAATTAGGCAGGCAGTTGAATACAAGCCCCATGTTCAGGGGAGTCATGGAGCATCTAAGATGACATTCTCAGACAAGGGGATTCTCCCCAATTCCCCCACTTCCCTGAGAATCCTTGGACACCGCTGGAATAATGCCAAGGGCCAAGAACTGTGACTCAGAGTTGCAGGGGAACAGCATGGGGCAAGAGTTGAGGGTTCTGGAGTATGGGCTCAGATCTTACCCTCTTTTCCTAGCTTGTGACCCTGAGCAAGTCATGGACCTGCCTTGTTCCTCCTTGTCGTTGAAACCTAAAGATAACCCCAGTACCACAGGGTTCTTATAAAGGTAAGTGAGGCGGTTCATGTGACCAGCTTGGTGTCTGGCATCCAGGAAGGGGTTAGGAGGTGTTAACTGTAACTATCCTCAGTTCTAACCCTGCCACTTGCTAAATCAGTGACTAGATAGTCTCCCAGTTTCTTCCTTCTCTATCCCACTATGGTTCCTACAAGGACAAGTGTCTAAAGCTGAGCCTTTCACCTCTTGGAATCTTTGGGAAGCACCCCAGCCCTATGGAGGAAGAGGCTGCCAGGCATTTGCCAAGACAACTTCAGCCTCCGGAATAAGGAAGTGAATCTGGGCTGGCAGGGGTAAATTATAG